ATCTAGCAGAGAAATGTGTGGGCTGAGAGGAAACGGGATGACAGGTAAAAGATCAATTAGGAAGTTCTTCCAACCAATGAGGTAAGACTTCCAGAGATGCAGATGTCAGGGAAAACAATGACAGTGGAGGCAAAGGCCAACACAAAGCTCCAAAGACAGAAGAGTTTCAGTGCATCTTTACGTATGCGGCCTGGATCTCAAGAACCATTTACGGAAACAGAGCTGCTGTTCAGCTGCAAGACTTAACAATAACAAGATGAGAAAGAAAGAAGAATCAAAATGGATGATGGTCAGAGGGAAAGAAAATAGAATAGACAATAATTAACAACACAAACTGTCATCAGACTCACTTCAAAACTCCCTCAACTTATAAATATCACTTGCTAAATTACTCTAAATACATGTCCAAACGATGATAGGTCATACTACATTGTATCTGAGGACATCACATTTATTTGATTCTATTATCCCGAGGAAATCAAATAGAAAGAAGTTCAGAAAAGTGTATGTTGAGCATATTGTCACAATAAACTAATGTAGTTGAGGATCTACTATGTACCAGGCACTACTGTTTCCTGAAAAATAAGACCTAATTGGAAAATAATCACCCCTGAAAGCTAGAGATCAAAAATGACAGCTCAAATCACCTTGCCCTACCTGCCATTACAGAGTAGCCACCAAGCAAGAGAATAGTGAGGTATAATTTTCTGCATGACTTTGGCCATCACCATGGTAACAGCCATGGGTTATTTTCAGGCTAGATTTTACCTTCAGGAAAACATGGCATGTTAGGCCTTTTATGTGAATTACATTATTTCAATTTCTCATCTACTCAGATAAGGAAACTGAGCTTAGTTAAGTCATGAAGCCGGGCTTTGCGCACAAGCAGTTTGACACTAAAGTGTGGCCTACATTTCCCAGCACACTGAAGAAATCATACCACGAGTGAAACCTGAAACTAACTCGGACGCTCAGTGGGGGACCTTGTACTGTCACTGATTTAAAACCAAATGTCATCAAATTGTCAGAGAAGCAACTCTGTCTTTTCTATGACTGACTGTTCCAAGTCAAGACTTTAGCTTTAGGTTTAAGAAGGTGTGACAACACCCTCTCTTGTGAAGCAGGGCTTGGGGGCTGAGCGCCATCTGCCACTTCAGGAATCAGAGACAGCATACAGAAGTCAGTCAATATGGAGCTTGCTGGGCTGGGGGTGTAGCTCAGCGGCGCAGAGCCTTGCATGGCAAGCGTGAGGCCCTGAGCAAGATTCCCGGTACCAAAAAAGAAAATAGAAAAATAATAATAATAATAATGGAGCTTGCTGCAAGAAACAGACGTGAATTAACAAAATTAGTAAGGAGGGGTAAGGGAATTTCGTGAAAATTTTTGAAATGGCAAAAGGATCATAACCAGAACTGCTCTAGGCTCTACAGACAGTAGTGCGCTTCTGTCTGATAGAATCAGTAACCGCCATTTTTGTCTCACAGGCTCAGCTCAAGGTTCAGATTCTCCAGGGAGAACATCTGATTGGCCAAGCTTGATCGCGTGACAACCCCCTTACCTAGGGGAGGGCAGAGTCTTCCCGCCACAAAGGCACACAAGACAGGAGAGAGCATTCTTTTAATAGAATCTGCTTCTGCTGGGGCTGGGGATTTAGCACCTGCCTGGCAAGCGGAAGGTCGAGAGTTCGATTCCGGGTACCGGAAAAAAAACAAAAAAAAAAAGAATCTGCTTCTGTCATCGGAAGAGAGGGGAATGAATGCTGGGCAGGCAAACACTGCAGGTGCCTATGACACTGCGGGAAGCAAGAGTTTTGCTGGTTCCAAAGGCATCCAGGCACATGCAGAGGAATCACTCCAAGCCTTACAGTAGCACACAGGAGTAGAAAAAGTGATTCTCTCAATGCTCCAGTAGCATTAGATTTAGTTACAATCACGTGTTGCAGTATCGTTAGGCAAGTAGCATATGAAATCAAAGTAGGGACATTTCATTTTAAACTTTGCTGATCTTTCAGATTTGCTTTGCATTCTTGATAATGATTTCTGGTCCTATTTTCATGTCTCCTCACATAAAGCCCCATCATACATGATGTTAGACATCAAGTATTATTTATAATTATAATCAGGGTTATGATGCATTAAAAACAGGAAAGAAGATTATTGCCAAAGAAATTTTCAAAGCCTCAGAAGTTGGAGATTAATTCATCAGATTTTTCTTTTCTCCATGCCAGGGGCTACTGAGAAACACTGAGGCAAACCTGGTTGATAGCTAAAGAATCTCTGACTCACAGGGAAGTGCTTGGATATATCCTGGATTCCACCACAGAATGATGAGGCCTTTATTGAACTCATCCTTCTTTGGCAAACTGAATAGGAATGAGGCTCTAATATCTGGCTTTTAACCTTATGGAGGGATTAGGTGGGATGCCAAGATAACTTGGAATATAGAACAGATGGTAGATAACTTAAAAAGAATAAGTTAGTGCAATATTGCACTTTATCAGCAGGCAAAACAGGTGTTAATGCTTATGTAAAACCCTTGGTTTGTTTTGTTTTCTTTATTTTTTTTCTTTCCCCACCCACCCAGACTTACCCATGGGCTACACCTTCCTCTGTACTGGAAAAGATTCACAAAAATGTTGTGGGGAACATGACACTGACATGGAGCTGGGGACAAAGTAGAAAAGTAGAACAGAAGGGGAAAAAACCTGAACTTCTTTTTTAGGTTTCCCAACAATGAAGTCACTTTAAGATTTGCATTGATAATGTGCTAGAACCCAATTAAATAAAAACTTTAAGACTCAAATAAGAGTGTTTAGTTAATTTTATTTCTACTGCATATTTTTCATTTCAATAATCTTCAAAGGTATACCTAAGTGATATAGCATTATTTAACATCCCCCCAAAATAAAGGACAGATAATAAAGAGTAGGAAGATATATCTTTTCACAAGGGAACGAGACTAAGAGATAAAGAGAGGGGGAAGTGCAGATAGAAAGAGGTTAAAAAAAACAAGAATTAAGATGTGTCATCTATATGTGCCAACTCCCCACGTGGAGCATGATAATTACATATTGGAAACATGTACTCATAAAAAATTAAAACTGATAAAAGCGGGATATTTCAGGCCATTAAGGAAATGGCTCTCCTAACCTAACCCGCAAAACAAGGAAAAGCAGCTATCGTGTGAATGAATCAAAAATGCCTTGGAATTCTGCACTAAAGCTGATCATAGAGGGAAACAAGGAAATAAACAATCTCACGGGAATTTTAAAAAGAAACTCATCACACAGGCTTAGGAATAAATTAAACATAACTAAAAAGAGAATTAGAGAATGAAGATAAATCTAGTAAATCACTTAGAACAGAAAACAAAGAGTTCAAGATATGGAAAATGTGAAAGAGAAGTTAGGAAACATGGAAAATAGATTGAAAAGTTCTAGAAGGAAAGAAAAGAAAACAGCTGAAAGTCAATACCCATCAACTGACAATTCAGAATTTTCCAAATTACTTTTAAAAATTTTCTCAGTTTTAAGAAGTATATGAACTTGTCAGGCTAAATTAAAATAAATCTACAAAGAAACCCATGTAAGCAAAACTAGACATCAAGGACAAATGGAAAAATCTTAAGTGATGGAGAGAAAGACATAGGCTACCCATAAATTTCTCCTAAACAATCACAGATGTCCAAACATGGAATAAAAATGTGGAGGAAAGATAATGGCCAACGAAGAATTCGATGTTCTGATGTGGCAGAGAGAACGCCAGGGAGCCCCCGAACATCCTTCACTTCCTGCTGGGCACGCAGGTTATATTTCTCACTTTGTGCTGGGGTGGTGCGATTGGATTTCTGCCTAATGTGATGTAATAGAGCTGATGGATTTTCCTGGGGGAAATACACAAAAACACACAAAAAGTAAAAAATGTTCACTAGCCAGTGCTTTCCCTAGAAACAATTCAAGTTTGGCAGAACTGTAACATACAGCAAAAATCTCTAAGTCATTGCTTTGAAGCAAACCACTCAAGAGAGCCATCTAACACACCTCACACATCTTACACATTTTAGATGGAGACAGAGATGAGATTTTTTTTTCCTGTTTCAAACAGGGTCTTGCCACGTAATTCAGGCTGGCCTTGAACTTACTATCTCACTATGTAGCTCATGCTGGCCTTGAACTCATGGCAATCTTCCTGCTTTAGCTTTCCAAATTCTGGGGTTACAGGTGTATGCCACCACACCCAGCAAGAATTTCATTGTATTTGAGTTAAGCCACACGTAGCATAACAATGAAACGGATAGAAAAGCAAAGCCAAGGATACTGATGCAGTTAACCATTGTGCAGATCAACCTGAGTCTCAGGATAACAGCTAGAGATTGCCGTTTAACACAATATACAGTAAGGATAATCACTGAAGAATAAAGGTAAGCCTGGTCCCAGCTGAGGCAAGAGAATCAGCTGAGCCCAAGGGTCAGAGACCAGCCTAAGAAACATAGTGAGACCTTATCTGGGGGTGAAGAGAAAAATACCAGATTACTGATTAATGTAGTTCAAGAAAGAAGGAGATTAATCTTGGAAAAAAAAATATGGAAAGCCAGTAGCCCTAGTGACAAAAAACATCAGTTGTATATATTTCTAAATTGTATATATTTCTAAATTTAAATAAAAATTTATAACCAAAAGGCAGAACTAAAACATTTGATTAAAATATAGAAAATTGATGAGGGGAATGCAGAAGGGAGTTTATATAAGCCTGGTTTCTTATATTATTTAGAAATGGATAAAATATTTATTACCTTTAGACTTTCTTAGCAAAACAAAGTTAAGAATTCATGCTTGAGGGCTGGGGATTTAGCTCAGC